TTCGAGACACAAAGGGAAGTTCCATGCAAAATCCTTAAAAAAAGTCTGAAGTTAGTGGATTTTGTTTTCTTCCTTTAAGCAGAAATAAGACCAGTTAAATCTAATCAGAAATTATTAATTATATACAGGAAAATGCTACACTTTCTAAGCTCCAAAAATGATGATCATCTTATACTAGAGAAAGTATTATGCATGAGTAAATACAGTACTTGATTGTGGTGTAGAACTGAGCTGTGTGCCTGGAAAATACACATATATCCCTTTAAGTTTCCTTTTATGTCACAAACAAAACATTAGAGCTCAAATCTAGAAATGACAGATGTGGGAGGGCTTCATCCTCCTACTGAACAGCAGGAGGAAGTATATAAATATAAAACAAACACACATTAAAATACAGATTCTCAAGGAATGGAGATCAGGGCTGTCTTTATTGACCTGAGAATAGTTGTGAGTTTATTGGAGCTGATGTCAGTTGTCCTTGGTGGGTCTCTGAATGATTTGGAACAGTGGACTGAGCCTGTAGAGACTTTGACTGGTGYTGTAGTTAGCAATGCTGCTTCATCAGTGAAATGTAATCTGCTGAGTACTCCTCGTTTACCTGTATTCTCAATGGATGGTGACTTTATTATTGGAGGTGTTTTCTCAATTGACTACAAACTGAATACTCTGACTAATGACTACATCACCAAGCCTGAGCCTCTAACCTGCGAAAAGAGGTTAGTATTAGGAATATGTTATGTAAAATACTGTTACATTTATCTGAAAGTAAATTACATGATGTAATTTGTTGCAACGTTTACTTTGATGAGGAAACATTGTTTATTTTTTGTTGAAATCAGTACTGATTTAGCAAAATTTAAAGCCTTAAACGGCCATTACGTGTTTATCACAATGCATAATCCATTTTTTTTAGTTTAATTGCTTTTTATATGTACATTGAAATTAGGTTAAATATTTCACTGACATTTAGTAATGAATTGCAAATATGTTTTAGTTATAGGGCAACTATTCCCTTTAATATTTTGTTCAAAAATAATGACAGCATCAGATGTTTAATTTTCCAACTGCAAGAGTAAATATGTGTTGATTTGCTTATAATCTATTTGCCTTTGAGTTTAACTTTATTTATACAAATGTCAGCTTTCAACTCTTTAATTTTGTGCAGCCTTCTTTACCACCAAGTGCATTTCTCTCGCACAATGATTTTTTCCCTTGAGGAGATWAACAACAGCACAGAGCTGCTACCAGGTATCAGACTTGGATAYCAGATCTATGACTCATGTGCTTCAGTGCTCGTAGCCACACATGTAGCATTGCAATTATCAAATGGTCAGGACCATGTGTTTTACAAAGAMAGCAATTGTTCCCAGTCTGGTGCTATGATGGCTGTTGTTGGAGACTCTGCATCAACGCCATCCATCAGCATTTCACGAGTACTTGGGTCTTTTCAAATTCCCCAGGTAAATTATGTGATTTTGTTGCAAACTAATTTATATAATCTACTAGCTTATAAGAAAATTTTGGTGTTTACTATTAAAAGTTTGTTGTATTTTTTCTTGTTTTAGGTGAGCCACTCTGCCTCTTGTGCCTGTCTCTCAGATAAGCAGCAGTTTCCAACWTTTTTCAGAACAATTCCCAGTGATCAGTTTCAAGCTGATGCTCTGGCCAAGCTGGTGAAATACTTTGGCTGGACTTGGATCGGTACCATTCACTCAGACTCAGATTATGGAAATTATGGCATGGCATCTTTTCTTGCTGCAGCACAGAGAGAGGGGATATGTGTGGAGTACTCTGAATCCTTTTATTGGACTAGCCCTCACAGCAAGATCCAGAGAGTAGCTGATGTTATTCGCAGGTTTCTAATTTACTGCTTTTGCTTGTTTCTTTGTAATATGGAGCTAAGGAACAATAACTACAATATGTTTATTTTTTTGTCTTTAATCTGAAAATACAAAACAAAAAATACATTATAAGATCAAAAG